CAGAAGCAAGGAATTGAGAAATATTGTGGTGCTCCCTAGTGCAAGATTTTAATGTCTTACACCACCGGATTATCGGTGTAAAGTAAGAAATGAATTTTTCTTTCTTTACACTACGTTTTCGCCGCCTCGATCCGGTATCGATATATTCTAAGCAAGAGATTGGATTGTTAAATACGAAATTAGCGAGGAAAAGACTCAAGATGATGATCTTAGCAAGCCCAGTTCATCTTTTACACAGGCTGCTCAAAGACTTCAACTGAACATTGTTGTGTGTGGTGAAAGTTTCGTTTAATAAATATATTATTCCAGATTGTTAAAGATGTTGGGCTAGATGCTGAACTTCATGAAACGCCATACCTGAGTGTTCGCCAAGACAGCTTCATTCAGTGAAAAAACTTTTCTTGGTTCTTGTGTTAGGTCTCTGCAGGACTGGCAACATGACTTGCATGGTACTCATTACATATTAAACAATTATATAATTCACGACGTCAGTTTATTCCCTTGGGAGAAATTTCTTCAGCTATTCCCAATATCATATCATTTTTAGCAGATTATAAGCCTCGCTTTCATCCAGGAAATTTTCGACTAACTCTGAAACATGGAAATAGAAGGTTTGTTTTCAGGTCACATGCACAAGCTAAAAAAATTACGTTTTATTGCTGATTATGCGAAGGTGGTTCGATAAATAGGTGGAGAATCTTTAGCAATCTCATTCACACAGAAACAATAAAATTTTCAAAAGCTTTCAAACCATACATCGAAAAGAAACCGGGAACAGAACGAAGGAGAGCTTGAAGGTTAATTAAATAAAACACCTGCCTGTTGCTCTGAGCTAAGTCGAACAGCTCCACGTCAGTCGGATTGCGTTTCGCCAACTCAGCGAAGAGATGATAGTAGAAATCGACGTCGTATTCGTCCAAAGCAAGTCCTAAAGCAGCAGTTGCAAAAAAGTAACTACACCGAGAATATCCTATCGAATCACTTACCATACTCAGCACTAGCTTTTCTTAGAGCATCACGTTTCCCCTTAATGACGTCAACCTCACTGAAGAATTCAGGTTTAACGGCAGAACGGAGCATTTGCAACGGTTGGACATATTCGCATTCCGTCATGCGATCATGTAGAAGGTCGGCTATC